ATGGCGTCAAACCTAATGCTCGCATTCTGAAAGCAACAGCTTGCAACGTTCGTGCGTTTTATACACCAGGGACTACACACAGAGTCAACGCGCCTCTGGAAGCTTTAACAAGCTGTTGGGTCTCATTCATTCATTCATAAAGACAGACGTTCAGGCAGTCACAGCTGTCTCCATTAAAGTAAACACGGACAGCCCTGGCAATCCGTCAATTCGCTGCATCAATCATATATGACGTGGGGTGACAAGAGACATTCTTACCGACTGTGTTCCCCTCGGCACCTTTCACTTGCACCATTGCCTCCTCAGCCACCCCCCTTCCCTTCTAGCCCTGCACCCAATCACAACAAATCTCTGAATCACACACACGAGCCCACATTTTTACCGCGCATAGCAAAATCTTTGTGAGCATTTGGCCACGCTTTTATGCGGTAGAAGTTTGGCTAGCAAGTTCTTCGTGAAATGTCGCTCACGACGGATGTGATGACCGTTTTCGGATTAAGCTGAAACATCGAGATAATTGGGCCTAGATCCGACATTTACGATGGTCTGAAGAAAATATAATTTCGGGTTGATGCTATAACATAATGTTCGAGGAAGTGACATCACGTATGCGTTTTGTTAAACCAAAAGTGCCATTAAGTGACGGTGATGTAACGTTTGCTTTTCGCGCCCAATTACTCGCGCACCATCCAGCCAGGCAGGAATCCAGGCAGAAAGTCAGCCAGCAAAACTCCCCCCCCCATAGTATCGTTTAATTGTGGGCCAGTAGTTACGTAACTATAAGAAGAGAATTTTTTTTTTTGTTTTACAAACAGTTTTTAGGGCATGTTATGGGCCTTACACGCAGGCTGCAACGTTTGAAGCCCCCTCTACAAAGTTGGCAAAACTCGACGTTAACGTCCTTGTGGTTTGTGGCAAAAACTACACGACAAAAATTCATAAATAATCGTGGGGGGGCCTCGTCTCCAGAGAAACAACAAAGCTGCCAAATTGAATCGAGATTCGACTGTTCTCATTCATGCTGTTCGTTCCGTAAAATAAAGATCGTCCTTTTGCTTAAATTGCCGACGCACCAATAACTATACTGCAACATAATGGCCGTCCAACAATCGCACTTAGATCAAAATGCAAATAATTTGCAGTCATTTTGTCAGTCCACTGCCAGTCATATCGTGGTGGTTGTTTGACCCTACTTCACGATGCCACTCAGTGTGGGGCCGGTTGGTGAAAAGGGGGCCCAAAACCGGTTCAAATATCACTCGCCACAGATGTTAACTTGTGGCCGGAAATTAATCTCAAGTTGCAATGTTCATAGGACCATCTGCATCCCGTATCGTGACAGTCGTGTGTAGTCAGATTCCTCTTACTAAGCGTGCACTTACTCATGCATTACGTTTTGTGTTTAAATGTAAGTCTAACATTCACAAAGGAGGAATCGATGGTGTCATCCGTTTTCGGTTCATGTGAGCAAAGGCGTATCTCGACTCGTCCCAATGGGGGAGGGATGGAGGGGAAGTGAATTTGTTTAAATAGGACCTTACGCACATACACAAACATCCAGTGGCTATTTTTTTTATTCCAGTTATTCAATGTAAGATTGCGTTGTTACATCTACCGTATTACGCCGATTAATAATAAAACACACATTTCACCCCTCCCTGTATTTTAAAGGAACGTTGGCGGTGCGTCTTATAATCCGGTAGCTGTGCGCGTGTGTGTGTGTGGACCGGCACGGGTTTGTGCGTCTGATTATCCTGAGAATACGGCATCAGTAATCGGATTACTTCTGCAGTTACTTCTCAAAAGTAACTCTGCTCTATCGCCGTGTGGTGGGTATATTTATTCACGATGTATTTATTCACAATGTACTTACAAAAAAAACCGCAGACTACCTGCTGGATCTCCTCTCTGTTTCAAAGAACAAATTTGACCTCAGGTCTTCGCTCATTTACCAGCTTCACATTCCCTATTGCCGTATACAAACTGGAGGAAGGGCCTTTGCTATTGATGCCCCCAGGGTCTGGAATGCTATTGCCAATAAACTGCAACTTGAATCGCTACCAATGAGATCTTCTCTCAAAACTGCTCTAGAGGAGTTGTACACCCCTAGCTGCCACTGCTATTAATTGGCGTAAAATAAAATAAAATATTCGCTCCGGATGACGCTGCAAAGTATTATCTGTATTTTGATTTAGCGTGCTGATTGAAAAAAAATTGATACTCCGACTGATGCTTCTGTTGTTGTGGAGTAACTCATGCAGCCAGCTATGGCTCTAGGATTTGGTATTACATGTTATTTATGGAGTGTATTGTAAAAATTCGGTCACAGTCCCTATGATCACTGTTACGTTGCAATTATGGCTTTATTTTTTGGCCATTTCGAAAAGTTTTTTGGTTTGGACATGTTTGTTTTGTTGTAGTACGGAGTTAGACTGATGGCCTTAATCTAAGTTTTATTGTGGTTGTTGTTGTTTGACTTGCATCCCACTGGGATTTTTTGCACACAGCGTTGGTGTACGGTGCGTTTTTCAGGAATATTTTGCTGTTTTTTTCATGGATTTTCTGTTTGCAGTCACATAGTCACTTTAAGATGTTTTCTTGTTCGTGTTTTTGTTTTTTGTTTGTTGTGGTTGCACCCGATTCAAGAGCCGAATGGCTCACAGGGCTAGACCAAAATAAATGAAAAATAAATGAAAATGAAAAAATGTGTATGTGTGTATGTATATGTATGTGTGTATGTGTGTGTATGTGTGTGTATGTGTGTGTGTATGTATGTGTGTGTATGTGTGTGTACGTATGTGTGTGTATGTGTGTATGTGTGTGTATGTGTGTATGTATGTGTGTGTATGTGTGTATGTGTATGTATGTGTGTATGTGTGCACGCGAGGCCACCCGGTGCGGTGTATACACACAAAGACGGCCGGGCGTGGTGCTGGCTACCCACACCCTTGTGGGCCCTGCCGATCTTACTAAGCACTTGCCCCAACAGTCTGTTAAAGGCCATATTATGGGGGGTTGGGTGGGAGGGGTCTTTGTGTGAGTCACATGTAAGTAGGATGTGACACACATTAGGCACCTGATTTAAAAAAAATCGGACTGCATTTCTCCGTGCGTAACCCTGCGATGCCTGTGTTTCGGAAAGAAAAAAAACAATTATGCGGCCCCTTCACATTTTAGAAACACAAAAAAAAAGATCTTTCGATTAATTATCATAACCCTTCTTCTCTGCGATGAATGTGCGAGGCAGGCAGTGATGGAGCGGCCGCAACAACACATGGCTGCTTGCTGTGTGTTGCGAGCGTGGTGGTTTTTTGCTGGCCCGGGATAATTGATCCCACGCGTGTGCGGAGCGCAAGGACGATGGTGCAGGGTTCATGGGTACAGTGCACACACATTCCTGCACACAGCCGTTCAGCTCGTTGCATCACAGACGCTCTCAGTCACCGCCTCCCACTTGCAGTGGTGTGTGGGGCGTAACATTAAGGGTTAGGAAGGTACGCATTGGTGAAATAGGGTAAAATAAACAGTGTACTCAGTGGGTCACACACACAAAGACAAAGACCCCCGTGTGGCATTAACAGACTGTTGGGGCAAGCGCCGTTAGCGAGCACCTATGAAGCCCGGCACGACACACGGCGGGGTGGGTGGCCAGCACCACGCCCGGCCGTCTTTGTCTCCCCAGTGGCGAAGATTAAACACGGGGTACTCATTTTAGGCTGAGTCGACCTTGGGGAGGCCCAGGACCGGTTCAGGTAATCGTCACTGGTGTTGGCCGTGAGCTGGAATTGAGTTCGTAACGCAGCATAGCGCTGACCGCTACATTACCGCACCCCACACGCCCACGTGTACACACACACCCACGTGTACACACGTGTACACATACACACGAGTACACACACACACATGCCCACGTGTACACACACATACACACGTGTACACACACATGCTCACGTGTACACACACGTGTACACACACACACGTATACACATACACACGTACACACACACATGTGTACACACACGTGTACACACACACGTGTACACACACATACACACGTGTACGCAAACGTGTACACACACATATACATACACACGTGTATACACACGTGTACACACACATGCCTACGTGTACACACACACGTGTACACATACACACACGTGTACACACACATGCCCACGTGTACACACACATACACACGTGCACACACACATGCCCACGTGTACACACACATACACACGTGTACACACACGCCCACGTGTACACACACGTGTACACACACATACACACGTGTATACACACGTGTACACACACATGCCCACGTGTACACACACGTGTACACACACGTGTACACATACACACACGTGTACACACATGCCCACGTGTACACACACATACACACGTGTACACACAAACACGTGTACACATCAATTGATCTCTGACTAAGCACACACGTGCACACACACACATGCCCACATGTACACACACACACATACACACGTGTACACACACGCCCACGTGTACACACACGTGTACACACACGCGCGGTGCTCCGGATGTGACGGCAGTGGCCGGGCTGGGTCTCGAGAGGGGAATGGACTCGGGCGAGCCCCTACCACGACGACGATGCCCCCCCAGCCGCAGCCTCAGCGCCGTGAGTTGTGCAGTGGGGGGGGGCGAGAGTCGCAGAGAATTAGCGAGGTTGCTGCTGCTGCTGCTGCTACGGCTCCCCTCCACTGCGGCTCTTCAACTCCAGTATCATCAACAACAGCAGCAGCAGCTTGCCAACACGAAGCCGGTGGGGGCAAGTGTTGTTAGCGAGCTCCTGTTAAGGCGGACGGGGTGCACAAACCCCGAGCGTGGCGGAGTCGGGCTGGGTGGGAGCAGCAGCAGCAGCAGCACACCCAGAGGAGGCACACGGGGGGTGGGGGGGCGTGGGGGACACGCTGGAGAGACAGGGACACGCTAGACAGACAGGGACACGCTGGACAGACAGGGACACGCTAGACAGAGACACGCTGGACAGACAGGGACACGCTAGACAGACAGAGACACGCTGGACAGACAGAGACACGCTGGACAGACAGGGACACGCTGGACAGACAGAGACACGCTAGACAGACAGGGACACGCTAAACAGACAGGGACACGCTAGACAGAGACACGCTGGACAGACAGGGACACGCTAGACAGACAGGGACACGCTAAACAGACAGGGACACGCTAGACAGACAGGGACACGCTAGACAGACAGAGACACGCTGGACAGACAGGGACACGCTGGACAGACAGGGACACGCTAAACAGACAGGGACACGCTGGACAGACAGAGACACGCTAGACAGACAGGGACACGCTGGACAGACAGGGACACGCTAGACAGACAGAGACACGCTGGACAGACAGGGACACGCTGGACAAACAGGGACACGCTGGACAGACAGAGACAGGCTAAACAGACAAGGACACGCTGGACAGACAGGGACACGCTAAACAGACAAGGACACGCTAGACAGACAGAGACACGCTGGACAGACAGGGACACGCTGGACAGACAGGGACACGCTGGACAGACAGAGACACGCCGTACAGGGGAGGTGAAACAGACGAACGGCAAGACGAGACGGAAGCGAAGCAAAGTTTAAGATCGGGAGTAGTTGGCATAGCTCTGAGTCACAAAGCAAGAACGGTCACAGAATGAACGCGTCTCGGGTTCACACTTGAGACGAACGTCGTCTCGAAGCTCTTTCCGAAGTGACTTGAGAGAGCCCTGCCTTGATTTATGTACAGGTGAGTCGTCTCGTACGTGAAGTTTATTCATGTCGAAGTTATTTGTCGTCATTGTTGTTATTTAATGGAGTACACGCGTGATAAATGCTGCCCTGTTGCAGCGTTAAAGGTTTGGTTGCTCTTCTGTTGTGTGTGTGTCATGCCATGTGTGTGTGTTGTGTGTGTGTTTTTTATCAATGTTATGTACAGGCGAATTATATCTTGTGTCCAGAATGCGCAATGTTGTATGGCCAGGTTGTGTGTCGTACACCCTCCTCCACCCGACACACACATGTCCATGCATGCTGGCGCTTACGTGACTCAACGCGCGCCCACCCACACACGCGCACGTGTGGACCGCTGTGCCCAGATCGTAGTCACGCAGGACACTCGGCACGTGTGGCGGCAGGGCTTGTGTATGGCCGTGTCGGGTGGAGGAGGTTGGACGACACACACACATTTCACTCCGAGACCCAGAAAATATATATGTAAATTATGAATCGTACATAATATTTGTCGCTAAGAGTCTTATCGTACTTTATGCACGTGCGTGTGGTATTATCCTTTGTCATTTATCTACGGCACAAGGTAGATAATGCTGCCAGTTTAAGTACATCATTGGGTGTGTTATTGTAAGGCCAGTTATGTTTGCGTTTGATGTAGAGGAGTGTTGTTTTTAAGTACAGAACTGTACAGGTTCATGTGTTGCGTACAGGTATATATTACATACGCTATGATTTACGTGTTATTTTATTAATGTATATAGGCGTGTTGGGTTTCATGTTATGGTGCACCTCCGATTAGCGCGGTTGGCTGACGTACGGTGTGAAAGAGGTTCAGCACACAAGTTATGGTACACTCCGTCAGAGCTGTCAACCCACGCGCTCGGTTTACTCGCATTCGTGTCCAGGGACATTTGAGTTTTCAGATCCAGACGGCGTACAGCCGTTTCAATACGTGCAACAATAACAACTATTTTTTTGTCTATGTGTTTGTATTTCTCCCTTTTGGTGGGACGCTGTAGGATGAACGACGTTATCAATACGGTCTGAATTTGTCTGTAATAAGGTAGGGACTGATCAGGGGTTAACAGGTATGCTATGTATACACAGAGTACCGTGTGGTGATATTGTGTTGGTGTCTTATTTGGGGTTATTTATGAGTGTGTTGTGATCTTGTACAGGCGTGTACTCTGCAATTCTGTATGTTCATCGAGAAATATACTCGTGGCTTTGTGCTGTTAAAGATGATTAATGCTCACAAAAACGCGCGAATATAAGGCACAGAGAGACCCACGGCGGAGTCATTTTCAAATGTGGAGTATTATATTGTGAACAGGTATGTTGTCTTACAGGTGTGTTACGCGTTCTAGGAAGGCACGTCGCTTGTTGTATCCTGCGTTGGGGTATTTTCTTCATGGTGCTGAGCATGTTATGTGTTAAATTGGGATGCATTTTCCGAGAAACCCCTCTTATCCGTGAGTAGACATGCAGATCGTAGAGACAATGAATTATTATCCAGCGGTGGCTGTAGGGGGTCGGGGTGGAGTCTCTGGCACGAGCTCATTGTGGTGTTTTCACCACGGTACGGGAGGACGTGGAGCTGAGTGGACTGGCTGATGACTGGTACCAGCGGTGTCAAGATCGGCCTCTGTGGAGGAGGCTCGTGAAGGACGCTACTGGGCAGTTGGAGGTAGTCGCCCTCCAGCAACAACGGAGGGCAGAGGAGCGACGCTCACAACAACGAGCGCCGGGTGGATAAAATACTGAAGTTGGCACAGGGGGCACAGCTGGTGTGCATCTCCCAGTCATCTCAGTCGGCCAACCCATAGCACCAGGGTCTGTCCCGAGGCCTGCTGTCAGCGAGTCTTTAACACATGTGGCCTCAAAGTGCACCTAGCCTGGCACAGGCGCCGTGTTGACGTCACCGTCACTTGGTGGCGAATGGCGGGGTATTGGTATTTGGGGTGGAGTGAAAAAAGGGGACCAATCAGAAGTGAGGACCAACGCGGATTATAGGATGACATAGGATGGAATTGTATCTAGGATCAACACAATTTGTGTATAATAATCGGAGGAAGCTGGAATGCTGCGATACTGCTATCTACAGGTGAACATTCTATGCATACGGACGCCCGTGTCCTGTTCCTGGGGTCGTGTGCACTGCACAGACCGATGACATAACTAAAATAATAACAAAACAGAAACATTTCGCAATACTATTTTTGTCCAAAAATGTGGTCGTCTCTTAGGCATATTTAACAATGTTGGCAGTGCCCAGACAGCCACAACGCACCCACGGTGACTGCGGCCCCTCCCTTGTGAGTCATCACGTGTCGTCCTGTGTGGCTCTGTTTTGTACAGCAGCACGTGACATTCGTTGCGCTCAGTCCTGCACCGAGGTGTCCCTTGAACAGGCTTTGCATGACACACCTGTGATTGTGCACGTTTCAGACATTGAGCTTCTAAGTTGCACGTTTGTGGATCTCAACAGCGAGATGGTATTAACGCTTGACTACTAATCAGGTTCTTCATTGTTGCTACCCCACAATGAAATTGGGTCGGTATTGCTGTCCAGAACACTTCGCGTGAATGCCACTGACAGTATGTCACTGCACATGGTGATGTCTGTAACTGCATATTAAGGAAATTAAACACATCTTCATAATTTAACACGTTTCAATGACAAATCTTAAAAGACAATTACCTTTAGCAGTACGCACATCATTTCTGTTATGAACTGTTATCAATTATCATTTATGTGACGTGGCCCAGCGGTAGCGCATTCTCTGCTTGTCGCAGAGATTAGCGGTTCGAGCCAACCGGCCACCCTGGTTAATACCAGGGCAGGTAAGAACCATTAAATACTACGTGACCTCCACTTCACAGTGGGCGTTAAAGATCCCCTGACGCAATTCGAACCTCCGGCAGATCTCCAATAATCTGCGGCGATATTGGGGGTGGGGTGGAACCGTATCGCAAAACCCGCGGCACTTTGCGGGAGATCCATCATCCATTAAAAGTCACACCGCTGCGGTGTGCTCGGATTAGGGGAGGGATTTGCTGACTCCATCCGCTAAAATATCGCCGATTACAGGAGTAGCGTGGACACGGAACTTGCAGCTAAATCTATTCGCGATAAACTTGTGGATTCCGAGGTTACGCGTTTTTCTGAGACCCAAATGGCACGAATCTGCTATATGGGTCTGTGTTAGGTCAAAAATTACAGGAGTTCGCGGATTATAAAAGCTCAGACTATTGGAGTTCTGCTGTCATAAGCCATTGTGTGACAGCGTCATCGTCCAAATATTGCCAAATTCGAAACATTACCCACAAATTAATCAATTGGAATTGCGTACAGCAATCATTGACCCCTACTGGCGGACGACGAATGCCAGTTTGCAGGCTAGGTGCCAAGTCACTTTGTACCCACAGGGACAGCTGCCACTGGGGGTGCCCTTCCACATATGCGAAATGATGCAAGTCGCTTATCGTGTGTAAAGCACTCTGCAACATCCCAATGTTTCAGGCGCTATATAATTTGTTTCATCAAATTACTTTGGGAAAACACACATGGAGGAGTTTGATTCACCTTTCGACTGGCTGCATAGTCAAAAGGTGAAGGCTAAGTGTCTGTATATTGGTGGGAGCAATGGAGCAGCAATCATGAGCCAGTGATGACAATTCCACATTCCCATGGTGGGGTGTTGTGAATCTCCATGGGCCAGTGACTTGATTAGAAGATTTACCACAAAGAGGTACCTATTTTATTGACCTGGACAGATAATTAACGAACTGAACGAATTCAAAACCTTGATTGTGAGGCCAGGACTCATAACTGCAGAGCTACCAACCAGATGAGTATGCTATATAATCATAATATAATAATGAATGGAATGGAGCAACGTCACGTAGCGTGCTGCGCGATGAACATGGTGACCTGAGATTGATTTGTGACCAATGCTAACCAGAGATGAGTAATTTCTGAACCAGTCCTCACACTGATCCAATAATGGTGAGGTTTGATAAGTAAAAATAAAACAACCCATGACCAACACAACAAGGCTTTCATTACGCAGTGGATTTTGCAAAGGGCTGTAAATTATTTTATACTACTATTTATTATAAAAAAGTGGCAAATATTTCCTCTTGGCAAATTGGCCCCGGGAATGTGCCCGGTTTTTAATGCAGGTACAATTACTCAATTTATTGCAAGGGACTGAGGAGGGGAGGCTTTGCTATTTTATTACAACCGCTGTCACATAATGGGGCTGCTCTTGTGAACATGGTGAACGTGCGGTATTTTATGTCAACACTCGCTAAGCAGATGGGCCACGCGTTTGATAACTCGGCACCGTAATTACGAATTACACGTTGTCAGGACGTTAGAGGGGGCGGGGGGGGGGGCACAGCGTAATGAGGCATCTGTATTAACGCTGCAGTCAAGAGCTGCCTTGGCCCACGGGCAAAACCAGCAGCTGCATAGAATGTAATGGATTGGGCAGCACATGTGTGGTACAGAGGAACACTGATGCATAATTATTAGGTGAACCATTTAATGATGGGCCCAGCCAAATCCCCGGCCTGGGTTTGAATATTGACTTGAGTTTATTATTATTATGGGTTTACCTACCGATCACTATGGTGGTGTACAATGGATGATTAAGGAATTATATGGCCTGACATGCAGGAGTGGTTGTAACAACACAATCTATATGTTATGTAAAAGTACATAATTGTTTTCAAAGTTCACCGGGTCATTTTTAAGGATAACCAACTGTATTGGTGATGAAGTTAATGTAATGTTTTACAAGCAGTTGAAATCACTTCCCAGTGTTGGTGTGAGAATTGAGGAATTCAGACATCTTGAAAAATCCACACAAATCTGATGAAAAATATTTGGAAAATGTATCCTCACTAGACATGGCTTTTCCACAGTTAATGGATGCCTTAAAGATAAACCAGTGTTTAATTGGCATGTTAATTATTTCTGCTGGGAATTAGTGGTCTGAGGAAAATACACATCTGATGAGTAGCCTCAATTATTCTGGGCAGTGGTTAGAGCCTTGGAACAATTATGAAAGGAGTGATTTAGACTACGTAGGTACAATGTAGACATAAATCCAGTTTCATCAGGGCAGTCATTACTTTCTATGTCAGGCATGGACTTGTTGATGATATCTCATGAAGTGGCTACACACATCGTTGCCCATTGCAGTATTTTACAGAAAATGTATTTGGATCAAAGTGCACCGAGCCTGGCACAAGCCCTATGGTAACATCACCACCAGTGAGTAGGAAATGTCTACTGTTGTGTTTGTGCGTGGTGAAGGAAGTAGGTCACACGCTGCTCTACAATCGTGGTGACGTAGGTTTAATTCCTGGCTACAATTAACAACACCCGTGCCATATGTGGCATCTAAATCTGGTTGGACTCTCCCTCTGTAGGTTGACTCAGTCCCACGTAAGTACCAGTTGCAGTGCTGTGCCAACGTCAGCACTGAGGAGTTGAAGGCAGATGGGCTTACGTGGTGCCAACTGCATCGCCTGCTCGTGGTGTGCGTGCCATCCTTAATAAGTGCTCAGCTGAGGCATTCACGACTAAACAAAGAACTATATTGACTAAAAAGAGAAATTGCAAGAGACTGAAATTTGGAGTGGTGTAAATCATTACCAGCATATTCTCACTACCTCATCCTAAAACCAACGTCCGTCTCTGTTTATTCAGCAGCTCAGTTTTTCCACAGTGCCTCACCGTGTGACTCGTTCTCTGGCGCAAACACTTGCACATACAGTACTTGGGATTTGTTCTCACCGTCCAAATCCTGAATTAACACGTAACCCGCACAAGCGGTAATGCCACGTGCAGTTGTCTCTTACCTGTTATCAAAGTGCCTTCACGCTCAGACGAGCCGACTCAATCACTGCTCAACCGTATTCTTTCCCACCCAGTTAAACAAAATAAAGACACTTGGAAACCCCCATTGGTGCTCCTCAGGCAGTGTGGGAAATTATGTAGCCTTTGTGCACATGCCAGTCGCTTCATGAGGCAATCACGGTTGACCTCCCACAAAATGATACGCGGTTTACCACCGCCGAGGAATGATATGCTGAGTTCAGCCCCCCCCACCACAACCACAGGCCCCCCCACCCACACCAGATGGAGATTGAACTCGGAGCAGTCCGCTCGTGAGCCGAGTGCTCTTTCCACCCAACTACAGGAGAACCTCTTATCCGCGGAATTGTGTGCAACCAGTTTCGCCGAGCCTATTATTCGCAGGGTTTCCCGTGAATTTACTCCTCATCCGTGGGGGGATGTGGTTAATAGAAAGATTGGGGCCAAGGACAATCGGAGATTTTGTGGACCCTTCAGCTGCTGCGGGTAACAGGAGTCGCGGATAGGAGGAGCTCTCCTCCTGTATCGGGGTGGACGCATTGGGGGAAACAAAAATTCCAAGTGATTTCATTCCTCAAAGTAGCATTGAGTCGGTACTCATCGCCTGTATGCAGCTCTTAGCCAGTGGTGCAAATTCCACATTCCTATTGCGGGGGGGTTGAGTCATAGGAAAAGGACCGTTGACAAGTTGGTGCTCGTTTTATTGACCCCAAGAGCGATGATGGGCCGAGTCGACCGCCAACCAGGATTTGAACTCGCAAACCTCCCGATTGCGAGCGTTGAATATATTATTGATAACACAACCACCGGCATTCTTTCGTCTGGACAGGCCCCCTTAATACGTTTGGCATTCGTTGGCCGTTGGCCCGTTACTCGGGCGGCTCCGAGTGGCAGCGCGCACGTTCCCCGCGTCCAGCAGACTCTCTCAGCGAAGACTTCGCCTCGGGGCTATTTCCACTGGAGCCGTCTCGTCCACTCATTACTCAGCCGGTGTGAAATGTTAACCCCTCTGAAAAGCATTTCTTCAAGGTGGATTAATTGCAAAGATATAAAATAATAAGTCTTGCCCATCCACGGAGTTCAAACCGGGTCACGAAATGTAGGATTTTAGATTAAAAAAAAACCTCACAAAAGTGTCTCCTCATGCATAGGCAAACACGTTGGGCAGTGTTGCTCTCTCCATTGTGGAAAGTGTGGCCTGCACATGTCTTGTTCGCTGCTTTAGTGGGTTCAGGGTAATAATAAATTAGTATTATTATTATTACACAGACAAGGGCTTGTTTCGCTGCTTAAAAGGAATCGCACACATTTACGTCTCTCAGACCATGATGCGTGAATATTCCAAATGATTGCTTTACAGCAGCATTTGTGCAGGAGACGTGTGGGCCGGCTTTGAATTTCCGAGTCTCATCAGCAGAGTGAGGCCTAATACACAAAAGCCTGACACGGTGGGGCCCGTTTTCACGCAGAGAGATAAACTGGTCTTTTTTTATCACTCATTTGTTGTGTTGCCAATTTTTTATCGGCAAAACCCTTTTGCGAACAAGGTTTGGGGCCCGCTTCAAAGGTTCAGGAAACGTTGGTCCAGAGAGCCAGTGAGGTGGCAGGTTTGAAAGTGATTTTAAGATCTTTGTTGGTGAGACGGGCCTGTGTATTTATGCATTACTACCCTACACACGCCCGTTTCACAAACACGGAGGAGGAGGAGGAGGCATCGTCGTCATCGGAGCGATGATTCATCACTCAGCCACTGCTGACGCGATTTAACTGCCTCAACATCCTCCAATGTAAAAATATCGCCGTCGCTGTACACGAACATCAGCCGTCTGAAGAAAAAGCCTTCACATGGCATCATGAAACTACTGGGTGTACACTTGTTTCTGTCCCGTTGCATATGACCAACACTGCCATGTGTGGCCTCCTTAAGTGCACCTCGCCTGGCACACACAATTGCCGAGGGGACATCACTGCCGCTTCAGGAGCGGAATGGCAACCGATAATGTTGTTGTTGTCGTTGTTTGTGTTTATGCATTCAAATTAAATGCACCTTGGATCGTGTTCTTTCCGTTGTAGTAAACGGAAATGCGGCCATTGACAATAGGAACGGCAACAAGCAAGATCTCCTGCATCTAATTGCCATTTAACTATCCCTAGAACGAGAATTGTAAAAGGTGACAAAAGCCTCCTTTGCTGTCGTGGCACCAACGTCGTGGAACGACGTCGTTCCTTCCCTTAATGTCGTAAATCCTCCTTCAAAAAAATATCTCGAAGCAGAGGAATGGTGCAGGATACAGCAGTCACATTTGCAAATGTGATTTGTAACTTTGATCTTTACCTGTGTATCGTTGGGTAAATGTCATGGTGCCATTACGTTGAGGGACGTGATCTGGGACTGTTTTGTTGTTTTCTGCTCCCTTGCCCAAGTTTTATGAATCGCTCTTATTTTTCTGGAGTGACTTGCTTACAATTGTTTTCTATGCATACACTCCTATGGTGTGTTTGTATTGTTTGCTGCTGTAGCTTGCTGACCCGCCCATCTGTGTGACGGAGCTTCATAGCTCATCGGATTCTTCCTGCAGTATAAATAAAGATTCTGATTCTGTTGCCGCCGCTGCTCCGTTCTGTTTGGTGGGTCTGTAGATGTCAGGCTCGAGAGCTTGTCCAGACACACAGCCCGGCGACTGTTCAGAGCGCGACGACCGTGAGACGCAAGAGAAGAGGCCGCTTCTTCTGAATGGCGAGTACACGGAGCGATTCACTCGCTCGCTCCCTTGCCTGGGTTGCTCGTCAACGTACGCACTTCGCTCCGTCTCGTATTTAGATAGCCCACGAGACAGAAATTGGAGGTGTCTCAGAGCGCTGTACACAAACTCAACTTGGCATGCATGCCCAACGGCTAGAGTACAGTGTACGGAATACGAGACATTTAGTTTAAGAATAACAAAGCCTTGTACCATAGGCGATGTAATGTATCGGTATTTTTATTTCGTTACAAGTTGGATTGGTAAAGGTGCAGCCCTGCAATTGCGTGCACTGGCCGCTGCTGGCTAAAGTTTAATAATTTGACCATACTTCACTATGCTGGTCAGTGCGAGTTCATGAAGAGGGGGTTGATATCACTTGCCATCAGGAATCTGTCCCAAGTCTCCCAGTTCACGGTGGGGTACGATAACCACTGCACCACCACTCCCTCCACCCAGAGGTAAAAATTAAATCTAATGTCTGACTGTCCAAAGTGTCCCCCTGGTTAATTAGCACTGTGCTGGCCTTCCTCGGACACATGTGGAAATTCAACATTCCTATGGCGAGGGATATTTTGTGGTAATGAGCTTCACTGATCCAAACAAAAATGATCTCACACCATCGATAATGCAAAAACGGCAGCTCCAAACTGATTTGAATTGTTATTGCAATGTGCTTTATCATCGCTACCACTACTACAGTGCTATTTTTGTTGAAATGATTAGCCATTTAATTTTAGAGTCACCAGTGTCGAGCACATTATTTTTTTTTTAATGTCTTTTTTTGCCCTCTCGTTTTGTTGCCACATTGGGGGGTTTTCTTTCTTCACTCCTTTGCCTTTTATTCTGCGCTGAACGTCTGAGTCGTGGGACGCACCACCGCCTCGCGTGCCGCGCCCGTCTGCCTCACACACAAGACGTTGTTGGTCTCAGTGGGCCCCCAGTTTGCTTCCAGGTAACGATCGTTGACGAATCCATTGAATCGTGGAGAGGTTCTCCCCGCGAATGGAAACACGGTTTCCGCGTTGCAGATGAGATCATGGGAAATGAATCTCGATTTTAGAATACGATTCAGATGTAATGCTGCAAACAGACGAATGTATTTAACACTGTAATGGTATGTAATGGACCAGATAATTTATAGCTACATCTATCCTGAATGAAAAGGAAAAATACATTTACAAACGGTGTTCCCTCAGCCGAACTGATCTTATCTTCGTATCTATATTTATATGGTATCACAAGGTAGGCTTCAGGTCAACATTTTAATACTCGGGAGAGCCCAACTCAGGGAATCTATCGAGAATTCTGAAACTAGTGGGAGAACCACCACAAGCCGGCTTTCTTTTATTTTCCTGCAAAGCCAAAGGAAATGACGCAGAGCCAATCAACAACAGCTCTCGGGAAAATGTTTATCCCAACATTGATTTTTATCGTACTTGCTTGCAGTAAACTGAACGCTGAGCAAATGGTTGTTTCTAAAACCCACGTACTCTACTTACTTGCTACACAATGAAGCCCGCACTGGCCAGCTAGGTGAAGTATGGTCAAACAATCCCCTTCGCTGATGTGGCATAGTCGAGAGTCCTCCATCCCACAGTGTGTTGGCTGAACGGGGCTACGCGTGATTATTATTGTTGAGTGATTATTCTTTATCATAGTATCCGATTGGGTGGCGGCTGAACTCGCAATCACAAGGTCACGAGATGAAATCCTGGTCAAGGGTCAACTCATCATCATCATCATCCATACATGGTCACTGAAATTACTACCACCTTGCGAAAATTATGAAGTAATTATCCTACGGAGAAAAAAAGGCCCCCGTCATAGGAATGTTGAATTTCTACCAATGGCTGAGGGCTGTTAGACGGAGGAGACAAGGAGGCACTCTCACTTTGATGTTATTCGTTTTGGCTAGAGATGGACTACTTAATGGTCAATTGCTGGAGTGCATTTTGGAGCTGGTAAGTCATTAGCGATTCAGGGGTTAAGCATGCATGAAAGGCTTTGCATTGATTCCTTAATGAAGGCTTTGATGATGATGATGCTGGGCTCCTGTCTGTACCACTGCCAAGGCACTTCCGCAGCTAGCTTAGTGGGCTATTGATGCTCCCAAACAAGATCAGCTGTTGTCATTTGAGTGGAGTCTTACGGTTGTAAGCATTAGACTCTCAAGACGAAATCAATGTGCATTTAAAATTGCAAAAACACACGAGTTGACTGGGTGAATTGAAAGACTTTCTGAATGGTATTGCCGAGGGATTGGACCAGCTATGCTGGAATTCTGTGTTTAAATGGGGGGGGGAGGGGTGCTTGTTTGTGGGTTGTTACCAGCCCACCTGTGGTCGAACCGGGTTCTCCCGTGTCGCGAGTCGATGATCTCAGCCCTCCCGCGCAGGAATGACGACAAACACACATATCTCGTCCATACCGGAGTTTCAAAACAAGTCCAATCGTCTTCCTGCACCAACAAGGGATGGGGCAATGTTTACTATCCGCGTTGCTGGCCTTGAGCCCTGTGGTGGAAATACCGCGTACCTTTTCGTGTTCGACTGTGCCCATCATCTCCCTGGGTAGAATAAAATAGGAACACCAGAAACGCAAGCCCATAGACTTACAACTAAAGTAGTTATTGTGCTTGTATCAGAAATTGCCTTCCCCCGATCAGTGTAATGTAACCATGTGTTGCTTGTGTCAAAACTGAGCTTCGTATGAAGCCCAGAGGCTCAAAACCAGGCCAGAGTTTGCATGCTGAAACAAATGCTGCTTGATCATAGTGGTCTCAAAAGCCATAAAGCCAAAGGATTACCATAAGAATGTGGAGTGTCCACCACTGGTTCACAGTTGGCGGTGAAATTTACCGTGGCTGCATAGCTGAACATGGGGCCACTTGGACTGATGGCCGATGCCCTGCTGGTGATGTTTGCAGCTGCTGCTGGAGAAGGAATTTCGTCGGGTTTTAAACATTTCGCCCGGCACCTGTTTTTCATTTCATTGGCTTTCAGGTTGCTGCTCGCTCAAAAAGTTAACGATTTACCTTGAAACGAAATGTATTTTCGCGCAATAAAATCTTCCGTGATGAGAAACACAAGTAGAACAAAGAAAAAGCCCTCCTTGTGAAACACAAGGAGTGGTGCAGACAATACCGGCGCATTCCAACAGCGCCCAACGAGTTTGACTCGCGAATGTCAAGAAGAATTAACCCAACAAATTAAAATGCCGTTTCCCGTCAGACTAAATATTTCTTTGAACTTAAGGTCAGAAACCTGCCACCTGTAATGGATCAGCACGGCGCTGTACACACTTGTAAACGCTGTGCATCTTTGGCTGAACAAGACAGATGTTACCGAGGCAGGCGTCCGATAAGCACCAAGAGTTTGGCGACACAAGGAAGAGGAGGAGAGACCTAGGGCAAGGGTCGGTAGCCAAAGTAACAAGAAGTGAATTATTTTTTTCGGTCAAATTCGGTCAAAAATATTTCAAGAGTCACAATGCATCGTGGATGTGAGACGGTGGACCTTAATAAATACCGTCAGAAGCGGTCCTTAAGGAGCCACAGGTTGCCGACCCCTGACCTAGAGCCTCTGATGGTAGGATCCTATAAGGGCGTAGTTTGTGGTTAGGTGTCAGCGTTAGAGCAACTCTGAGGTCTCAGAGGAGGAACTTAGCAACGACATCAACAACATTTGCCGTGATGGCGACGTGACCTCGACTGCCTCACAGTTGGAATATCGTGAGCTCAACTTGTGGCTGGGAGTCAACTCGGCTCATCATCCCCCTGAGATCATTACACCAAGGACTACTTTGTGGTAAGTCCACAGTGGACATGCTGTAGAGAGACTGACTCACACCATAGGAGTGTGGATTGTTCGTCGCTGGCTCTGGATTGATTACCTGTATATGTGAGCAGGGAGCCACACTGACTTGTACGGTATACAACTTTATTCGAGATGAGTTACATTTTTTCCGATAATAGATTGTGAGATATCTATTTAATTTTTTGCGTGGTTTTTTTTCGTATTCAAAATATAATACATTTAAATAAAAATGCATTAAATTAATTCATTAACATTTTGTGATAATGTCAAATATTATAAACATTTAATAAAATGTTTAACATCATTCCATCACCAAAACAATGCATTTAATGTAAAAAACATATATTTAATAATATAATTCAACAAACTTAGGAAGACATTCCAAGCCTATATATGTGCTTAAAATGTGCATATAAAAACACAAAAATCCCCCATATAGCCTTCACAATAGACTGTTGGGTCAAGTTAGTGAGCACCTATGAAGACCGGCATGGCACACGAGGGGGTGATTTGGCCAGCATTACTCCCGGCCGCCTTCATCTTCCCAATTGTGACGATGTTAACACACATTGCCAGGTACATATTTAAGTCTCTGTCGGTCTAGGGGGCCCAGAACTGGTTTAGATATCACCGATTTTGTCTGTGAACGGGAATCGAACTCGGTTCACTGAGTTCACAGTGCAGCACGCTAACCACTGCCACACTGCTGCTCACATTTCCCACAGACGCACGCACGCACGCACGTATGCTGTGAACTTTACTTGCAATTTTATTTGATATACATATATCCTTATTAGTTTAGATCTTTAACAACTAATTTGTCAATAAACATTGGCCTTAAATGGAAAATAATATATAATTGGTAATGTTTTTGGCAATGCCCCTTCTTTGTTGCACACCATTCGTGCAATGATCACCATGCATTCGTATAAATGTTTCTGGAAACTAAATTGTTCCACAGTTTCAAAGTATTTTTTCCAAGCCAACGTGTTACAGGACTCATCTTCTTTGGTTCTTTTGTTAATGTCACGTAGAATGAGAATAAAATAATAAAATAATAAAATAAAATAACACAATTAAATTCTCACGACGTTTCGGCCACAACACAAGTGGCCTTCTTCATCGATGCACGGTCGTGCGGTATTTTCAGTTCCTCCTGTAAGCGCGGTTCTTTCCGCTCCTATTTGTATTTGCTTCGTCGCTGTTCTTTGATTAAATATATATTTTTGGCTTTTGTCATTTTCAGCGAGCCAGGTCACTCTTGCAAACGAGACTCGTCATCACCCGTGCACGTCGAGCACCTCGCCCGGCTCAACAGAATCAAACGCGAACTTGATGTTTGGGTTGCAGCGGTAGACGGAGCGCGCCTGCCGTCGGAGCGAGCCGACGATGGCGCGGACGAGGCCGGCTCCCCGGGAGGGGAGAGCTCTGAGTTCGTGCGCACGCCCGGCGAGGAGCGGGGGCAGGGCACCGCCACCGCCGCTGCTGACGATGAGCGGGGAGGAGAGCGCAAGTCGGAGCCCGCTCCTGAGCTCAATGGAGAAGGTACGGCCACCTTGCCTCCGTCTGTGAGATCCTTCGCCACACGCGTGACGCGTGGTTAGTGCGGACCTGACGCGTGGTTAATGCGGACCTGATGATGCCTGGCAATAAGCGTCTGTTTGGTGTTTGAACATCTGAAACAACACCTCCTGTATTGTTGCCAGAAAGGGCAGAGCCTTTTCTTTTTCCATCACCTTGGCTCTGTTCGCTTTGCGACGCAGCTCACCGCACTGGTTATGCGCACGCACGGCCTCGGGAATCGAATTCGGATCGCCGGGTTCGTAGCACAAGTGGACTTACGTATGCACGCACACGCTATGGCAAAGTTGCTCATGCACCACTGCTGTGTTTCGAGTGCAGAAGGTAACCTTGCAAAGGCACGCATGCATAGCAGCCTGATGCAGTGATAACAAAGTTAACAAAAGCACTGACACTGAACGCCGACTGGCCGGCGTGCGTGTGTGTGTGTGTGTGTATGCGCCATGTCACAAAATGAATGTAGCGTGAAGGAGCAATGAGGTGGGAACAGGTTAAGAAGTTGTGCAGCAAGTTTGTCCGTACAATGTAGTCGCGCTTGCACAAGGAAATGTTTATTTTGATTTATTTATAAAAACATGCCACCTGTAAACTCGCTTGGGATGGAACGACTCGATTGCAAGGCCGTCCAGGGTATTCTCAAAGCGAGCAATGCGCAATTGATTAAAGCTCACGCAGATTCATATCTGTCTCAGCGTTCCAGAGAGTGTCGTGTAGGGTACGCGTAGAGCTCTTTTCCACCGCACAAGTGAGCCGGGCCGTGTCGAGTCAGCTCAGCGCGGCTCGGGAGGAGCGCGAGAGGCGACGCCGCTGACGTCGCACGCGGTGACCGCACGCAAGTCGGTGACGCGGCGACGCTGTGGCCTCACGGAGTCCCGGCTGACGGCCACGCGTCAACACCCGCCCCTGGCCCCGCTGGGGCCCGCGAGGCAGATCGGGGCGTCTTTGGGAGGCCGGCCTGTTGCGGTTTCGTTCTGGCTCGGCTTCACGAACAGGACCGTGATGGCCCATGCTGGCTCAGCTCAGATTTGCCAGTGGTATTATTTACTCGGTAATTTTTAGTCTTGCTTTGAAGACATCGTTGTCCGTTGTGAGAACGCTTATCGTCAGCACCAGCTTTTGTTTATATAATCCGACCTTATTTTACATTTGTAGAGCATCTTTGCTCAAGGTGCCTAACGTAGTTTAATACAGGTTAACATAATAGAATGATTTAGCTGCCGGAGGCATGCAAGGGCTGAATAATGGGTGACCACGATAGAGGTAGGGGAGGGATGGGAAGAAGTTAGAGGGGCGAGGGGATGGAAGAGGAAGAGAATGGGGAATAGAGAAGAGGTGGGGCTTTAGGAGAGGAACGGTTCAGGAGGGGGACTGCTTAATGTACAGGGGCAGTGTTGAGGCTATGTGGTGAGTCTATGGGCAGTGTTGAGTCTATGTGGTGAGTCTATGGGCAGTGTTGAGTCTATGTGGTGAGTCTATGGGCAGTGTTGAGTCTATGTGGTGAGTCTATTGGCAGTGTTGAGTCTATGTGGTGAGTCTATGGGCAGTGTTGAGTCTATGGGCAGTGTTGAGTCTATGTAGTGAGTCTATGGGCAGTGTTGAGTCTATGGGCAGTGTTGAGTCTATGGGCAGTGTTGAGTCTATGGGCAGTGTTGAGTCTATGGGCAGTGTTAAGTCTATGTGGTGAGTCTATGGGCAGTGTTGAGTCTATGTGCAGTGTTGAGTCTATGGGCAATGTTGAGTCTATGGTGCAGTGTTGAGTCTATGGGCAGTGTTGAGTCTATGGGCAGTGCTGAGTCTATGGGCAGTGTTGAGTCTATGGGCAGTGTTGAGTCTATGGGCAATGTTGAGTCTATGTGCAGTGTTGAGTCTATGGGCAGTGTTGAGTCTATGGGCAGTGTTGAGTCTATGTGCAGTGTTGAGTCTATGGGCAGTGTTGAGTCTATGGGCAGTGTTGAGTCTATGGGCAGTGTTGAGTCTATGGGCAGTGTTGAGTCTATGGGCAGTTTTGAGTCTATGTGCAGTGTTGAGTCTATGGGCAGTGATGAGTCTATGGGCAGTGGTGAGTCTATGGGCAGTGTTGAGTCTATGGGCAGTGTTGAGTCTATGGGCAGTGGTGAGTCTATGGGCAGTGTTGAGTCTATGGGCAGTGGTGAGGCTATGGGCAGTGCAGCTCAATGCACAGCGGAAGTTGATTCCAGTGGAATGCTGCAAGGATGGAGAAGGGCCGAAAAGAAGATTGGGCACAGGGAGAAGGAGGGACAGAGAGACGATTGGGAAGGACGAGAGGGGGGAAAGTGGAAGGAGATATGAGAGGCGAGTTGAGGTGAGGTGGGGTGAGGCTATGGAGACGTCTCCCAGAACCATGCTCTAGGAGGGTTCTTCCCCTCGTGGAGGTCCTCCTGCCAATAGCAGTGGCATGAGCAAGACATTGCAGGGCTGCACCTTTGCCCCGCAACTGATCTCTGCCATAGGAATGTGAAATTTCCACCACCGATTCAGAGCCACGAGAAAGCCCTCCCTGGGACTCATTTTAACGACGGGACGCTTTGTGTTGCTCGGAGAGAGGGCTAAGATGCGGTCCCCCTGCACGACAGGCAACCGGGGAGTGTTGTGCTGTCGGCGGTGGGACTCAGAATCCCATTTAATTTCCCAACAACGACGGGAAAAGGTCTCCACGTACGCGGAGCAGCAGGTATGTTAATCTGCGTCGGATCCACCCACCTGGACCGGCGATTCTTCATCCGTGAGACTTTGTTCCTTTGCTTTGAAATATTTTCCGATGTCAAGTCCAAACATGGGATTGAGCCAAGTTATTTTAAGTGGCCGTGTGAATTCCTGTCTCTCTTTTTTTTCTCTTCAGCTAAAAGATAAATGCGTTTTCTCTCTCGTGAGATTGTTAACGCCTCAGGTGCTTTGCCTTAAAAACACTCGCAACATTATAATCAGTTTTCCGTTGGTCAAGTATCCCCAGCAACAGTTGTATTTTTCTCGAAATGCTATACGTCGTATTTTATTTTGTTTTGTTTCCACTTGTAACGTACTCCAGGCTATTCTTGCAAACCAGACATGCGTCGTCTGGTTATAAATGAAGTGCATCTGTTTTATATACAGATGCTATCTTGCTGATCATTAGAGCTGCTGCCATTGTGTGATGGTTAGCGCACTGGACTTGCAATCCAGAGGTGGCTGATTCAATCTCCCGGCGCGGCAGCTGATAAAGTAGAAAAGTTTCTTCAGTCACTTCCCGTCTGTGCACCCAGCAGCATAAATGGGCTACGCCACGGTGAGTCGCGCTTGTGGAGGGGTGCCGTGTGGGTACTACCCACCTCCTCAGAGATGTCTTGCCTGCTAGGGGGGCTGTGTAGAGCTCCCTCTCGTTGAGACCCGTCCACCAGCGGTGGCGAGAGCAAGCACTTGCAGGGCTGCACCTTTACCGTCTGTGGCTGTGCTGTGACTGCAGGCTGTTGTGGTGAGGTCTCCATGGATTCGTTGCCCACTGACCTTACTCAGGCGCTATGTAAATCTGTATAAGATTAAGCCAAGCTGTTGCCACTATCATTGCTTCTTCTTGGTTTTTATGAAAGTTTTTTCAGATTAATCACAACATGCACGTGGCCAGTCCATGCTAGGTAATTATAATGCCATTGCTTGCTGAATACTCACTCGGTGGCAATGCAGTACGAGATTACCGGAAGCTATTTTTGTTCGTCCGATTACAACATCGAATTGTTTGGCGATGCTGCCCGCTGCTGCATTGGGCAGTGGTGCACACAAGCACGGATGACGAATAACGAAGCGCACCTTCCCATCAGCACGGTTGGCTACGTATGGCGCGTGAACAAAGTTCACCCTCCGTACGTACAGCAACACTATGGCCTTCAAATGGAAAACATAATAAAATATGATAAAAAGGCATCGTTCCCTACCATGGCCCCCTCTTCATAGGTGTGAAGAAGGAGCGTGTTGCTATATGTGCTTTGTTATCACATTACGTCTTACACATTGCACTCGCCAACACATTGCGCCCTTGAAGAAGAGGCTGCTGGTCTCAATTGGCTATCAACGGGTGTGTGCGTACAGCCCTTTTGTCAATCCACTGCTGGATGAGGGCCTCCCCACGTGGCATAGGTCATGGGGTATGCTTTTGCCACGTAATAATAATATTATAAAGCGCCTTTCATATTGATTATATCTCAAAGCACTTTACAACAAAACAACACTTATGAGTATTTTAATAATACTGCAAGAACATTTATGACTCCTACACTCACAACATCGATAGAATGAAGAACAAACGAGGATTAAGGCCAACAACAATAATAGATTACACTCACAGTGGGGGTAACATCCAATCATGCGTCACCACTGGTCAATGCGGGTTGGCTATGAGCATAGACATGGAAACATAGCAGTGCATTAGTCCCTCAGCAGCCTATAACAACCCAGTTTAACACGCAGGCTTTCGCGACCAATATTATTCGTAACAAAGGTTGTATTGCGACACGTTTAGACTTACGTGATCAAACCCAAAAACTTTTATTACGTATTTGCAACCTGGTTTATGCACGGTGTCCGCCCATCCATGGACTGTCCAGGCTCAACGCCCGCTTAGCTTCTGAGAATTGTCGAGGTCTGACACAGCCCTCGTCATTTTGGTCTCTTTCCTCGCTGTGGATAAAACTCATTGGCGATGCGTAGAGCAGTGGTGGTGCGCAAGCGAAATTTAACAAATACAGACCCCAGGAATGCAGAGCAGTTAAATTCCTTGGAAAATGTTTTATTGGGTCCACAAATGTATTCCGATGGTGGATTTTGCTTTGCACTGTGCCGGGAACATTTAATAATTTTACCGTGAAGAAGGTCCATTTCTATTTAAGGCCATAGTGTTATTGACGATTTTGTTTGAGTTTGTGTTGTTGTTCTAAGAGTTAAGTACGGTATTGTCGTTCGGGCATGTTAAGAAATTCACGGCTATGGTGTTTTCGCTGGTTGCCTGGTATCGTGGTAGCGAGCTGTGAGGCCGTGTGAGCCGTAGCGCCGCGTGGGCTGGGTGACTGCGTGGCCCTCTCTGAATTGGGTCATTTAGCAGCGCAACTGTAGCCGGCATCAAGGCTTCTAGGCCCCCCACACACACGCACGCAGACATCTTGTGCAACGTGGAGGAATGTGTGGGGCTGTGATGGGTCCCAGCCAGGAGTCCAATAGAGCAACGCTGTTCCCAAAGCAAGGCCCTCTTAGATTTCTTTGAATAGCGCTTTGTCTTAACACAGTCGTTAATTGATAGCTTCTGCATAGCTGCCTCTCCTGTGGCTACATGTCTACTTGCCAAACCGATACACCGTACAATACCCCACCACAGTGCAATGCAGCTTGGTTTATATTCTCGTCTGCACGTGTCTGTGGAGGCAGGGAGCAGTGGTGCTTCAGTTAACATGCTGCGCTACGAACCCGGCGACCCGAGTTCAAATCCCGCTCGAGGCCAACACCAGTTTACAATTGTAAACTGGTGTTGGCGATGTGTAAACATCGCGACGAGGGAGACAAAGACGTCCGAGCGTGATGTTGGCCGCCAACCCGCTTGTGTGCCATGCCAGCCTTAATAGGGGCTCGCTAACCGCACTTGCCACAACAGTCTGTTCGTCGCTATATAGGAAGGGTCTTTGTCAAAATAAAGTAATAGTTAAAGCTCTACTGCTGGATGAAGGCTTCTCCACTTGTACGTTTGGTCGCGTGTGTTGTTCGACCATACTTCACCATGCTGGCCATCTTGGGTTTGTGAAGACAGGTGGGAGAGGGGGGAGGGGCAACACTCGTTTCAGTTTTTCCCCGATGCCAATGTTAGCCATGGTCAAGATTCGAACTCAAGTTGCCGGGTTTATAGTACAGCGCATAGTGCATTCACTACTGGGCGTGCCAACGTGTTTGAGGTATCGAATCTGGTTGCGAGTGCAGTGCGCTGCTAATTCTTAAACACCGATGTGGCAGCGTCTCACGGCCAGTTTAACTCCGGCCAAAAATAATGACGAGAAACCTGGGGCGGTAATGGAGGACAATTACATAAGAGCGCGGTGACGAGGGTGGCTGTGCATGCGTGGAGGTGCTGGCCACCCCACCGCCACCTCCAGCCTTGGCAGCCTCAGTTGGCGCTCAAGCAACACCAGACAAAGGGATTTCTTTGTGTGACTACCTCCGTACGGACAAAGAAGCTTGCCCAGAAATCTAAACAATTACCGAAAGTGTATATTGTAAGCTAATGATTTGGAAATTTGCTCAAGAGTTATAATTTGTTTGAAAAACGTTTTGTTTTGGGGCGCTTTGCTGCCTGAATGTGTAGGATGGAGAGGAATATAGAGGGAGGGAGGGAGGGATGGAGAGGAGACGGAGGAAGAGAGAAATTGAGATACATTGGGACATACAGCACAGAGAAGGCAAGAGAAAGGTGCGGAGAGACTGTGCTCTATATCAGAATAAAAGTTTTGCTGGCTGGCTGGGAGAGACGGATGAAGTGACGATCACATCCAAAGCACGTGCGAGTTGCTCGTAATAATAAAAAGCAATGGAGCGAATTTGTGCGGTGTTAGCTGTGCCAGGCTGTACCGTGGACCGTGCTGTACCAAGGTCCGATGTGTCCGTGCCTGTAGAAGGACGTCTGCTATTTACTTTGATTATCCGGCATTAGGGAATGATGATGGGAGCTGCACACGACTGGAGAGTGAATCCCCTTTGCAGCGTCGACAATCTCCATTCGAGCCACGCGTCTTGTGAGTGGCTCGTTAGAGAGGGGAGGAGGCATCATTCGTGTGTGGTCTCATGGATAAGATTCCAGTTTATTCCACCCGTTTAAAGTTAACATTGGAAGACTGATTTTATTCGTGAAAGCGGCGTGTGCATGCCTGTGTGTGTATGTTGACGGGGAGCGGTAGCGTGGCAGTCAGTGCACTGCGCTATAAACCCGGCAGCCCGAATTCAATTCCTACTCACGGCCAACACCAGGTTGACGATTATCTGAACCGGTCCTGGGCCTCCCCTAGATCGACTCAAAATGAGTACCTGGTGCGATGTGTAAACATCGTCACTGGGGAGGCAAAGGCGGTCGGGCGTGGTGTTGGCCACCCACCCCCCTCGTGTGCCGTGCCGGCCTTCATAGGTGCTCGCTAACAGCACTTGCCTCAACAGTCTGGTGAAGGCTATATGGGGAATCTTTGTGTTTGTATTCATCCATGCATGGCTGGGTTTGAGTGTGGGCATATGTAAAACGTTCTTGCGTGCGTTCACGTGCATACGTCTGCATGTTCTGTGTGCGCGTGTGCCTGCGTGCAAGCGTGCGTGTGGGCAGTGTGAAGGGCGCCCGTGCGGCGGTTAGCGTGCTGACACGACGAACACGTTGACCTGAATTTAACATCCCGCTTGTGGCACACATGAGTGGCAAATGTCTGAACCGGTCGTCGACCTCCCTGAGGTCACCCGAGGCGTCAGTGAGTACCTGTTGTGGTGTATAAACACCCAAGATTGGAGATACAAAGGCGGCTGGGCGTGGTTGCTTGGAACACCACCCCCTCGCGCTCGCGAAGCACCACTTGCTCCAACGGTCTGTGAAATGGTCCATGGTGAATCTTTGTGTGTGTGGGTGTAGGGTGTGTGTCTGTGTGGGTGTAGGGTGTGTGTCTCTGTGTGTGTGGGTGTAGGGTGTGTGTCTCTGTGTGTGTGGGTGTGTGTCTCTGTGTGTGTGGGTGTAGGGTGTGTGTCTCTGTGTGTGTGGGTGTAGGGTGTGTGTCTCTGTGTGTGTGGGTGTAGGGTTTGTGTCTCTGTGTGTGTGGGTGTAGGCTGTGTGTCTCTGTGTGTGTGGGTGTAGGGTGTGTGTCTCTGTGTGTGTGGGTGTAGGGTGTGTGTCTCTGTGTGTGTGGGTGTAGGGTGTGTGTCTCTGTGTGTGTGGGTGTAGGGTGTGTGTCTCTGTGTGTGTGGGTGTAGGGTGTGTGTCTCTGTGTGTGTGGGTGTAGGGTGTGTGTCTCTGTGTGTGTGTCTCTGTGTGTGGGTGCGGTGGTGTAGCGGTTAGAGTGCTGAGCTATGCACCTGGCGACCCGGGTTCGATTCCCGCTCACGGCCAACACCAGGGACGATTATCTGAACCGGTCCCGGGCCTCCCCTAGGTCGACTCGGCCTCAAATGAGTACCTGGTGCGGTGTGTAAACATCGTCACTGGGGAGAGAAAGGCGGTCGGGCGTGGTGCTGGCCACCGACCCCTCGTGTACCGTTCCAGCCTTCATAGGTGCTCGCTAACAGCACTTTCCCCAACAGTCTGTTCAGGCTGTACGCGGGATCTTTGTCTTTGTTGAGTGAGATTGACGCACTGCGCGACAAACCCGGCGACCAGTCGAGTTCGATTCCCGCTCACGGTCAACATCGGTGATGATTTATCTGAACCGTTCCTGACGGCCTATGAGACACAGAAGGTCAAACTTAGTCAAATTTGGATAATAATTGTCTGGAAATCCAACAGGCCGATGAACTAAACACAATTGTATTCATATCTTGTAAACACGGAACAGAGTTCTACTTTTTTCTCCATCAATGCCACCTTCCCACAGGAGCGTTCCTCTTTTCTTACACGTTTAGCAACTTCCCGCAGGGCCACGGAATGGAGTCCTGCTTATTATTGCCCTGCCCAAGACGCTAAAACACAGACCGCTGTCTCTGATACGCATGCGTGGCCGTGCTTTTCGGTGGAATGCGTGCGTCTGCAGCTGCAGCTGTGTCCGATTTTTGCATTATCTCTAATCTTAACAGATTCCTTGACGTAAATTCAAAACACGACCGCTTCCTTTAAGGGCCGTGCCAAGGAAACAGCGCCACCGCAGTAAAATATTCCATCCGTCGTTTGATTAATGTTTCCATCAAAGCGTTTGGATTGGCTCTTGAATATTTTTGTGTTGCAAGCATTCACTGTGTAACTTCTGGAATAGACAAATGAGTCATTGGCCAGGGAAAAAAACACACACAGCGAGCAAAATCCCTTCATCAATATTAGTTTGAAGTTTATTTGGCACGAGCAAATACTGCAAGTTAAACATTATTTTTTTCGGTAAAGTCACGTATGTAGAAATACAATAAAATTATATTAAAACAAAACAATCACGACGTTTCGATCACAACACAAGCGATCTTCATCAGGTGTCAAGAACAAATCATGGAGGTAAATACAACAAAAAAGATGAGAGACGAGAATTCAACAAACCTGAAAAAACATTATGTGAAGCACAGCCAGTCAGGCCAACAGTCCCGAAAGCTTTAATAATTTAATAATTCATTAAGTTCAACATTGTTGACGCGTTCACGCTGTAGGGCCCGGGTTTTGTGAAGTGCGATGTTCTTCTTCAGAAATGTATTTAAGCTTCTTTTTCCATTCGGAATTGAGCTGCTCATCTCAGTCCCTGAAGAAGCTGCCTGCACGTAGAGCGAAACGTCGGACACCGTGCCGAACAACGTTCGGTACAACCCAAAGAAAACACATGACAGAGGCTTTTTTATTACAGTAGTACAACCGCGAAATGAGCAAGTGATGGAAATTAAATGTTTACGTTGAGGGCTTCGCTCTCTTTAGGTAACAACCACTGTTGAGCGGCAGAAAGGACTGAGTTAATCCCTGACTGAGAATTGAACTGCCGGATTTCCAACTCCCGCAGAAAAGCACGCTAAACCGCAGCAACAGCCAGAAAGAGGTGCATCACGCGTCCCGCGTACGGTGAGTCCTAGCGAAGCGCGTGGTCTTCACGCAACGCGCTTTCGCCACTTTTAGTTTTCTCCGCAGCACACTTGGCGGCCTCGTTCATCGCTGGACACTTGTGCGAGTCCGGCACCCATGGGCCCTGCCCGAGATGACCCCTTGACTTTGGACCCGTGACAAGGCGTCGATCGACTCTCTCTTGTCGGTCGCAGCCGGCGACGGGGGGGCCTTGCCGGCGAGCCTGGGGAGCGTGGAGGGCGGCGGCGGCGGCGGCGGCGGCGACGGGACGGTGGTGACCGTCCCCCCGAGAGCGTCAGGACGGCCGAATCCGTGCGGAGGGGGAGCGGACGACGGAGCGGGGGGGAGCGAGGCGGAGGCGCCGTCCGCCCCCACGGAGGAGCGCATCGCCGGCGAGCAGCGCGGCGCCGGCCTGCCGGGCGGCCGCAAGAAGACAAGGAAGACGACAGCGGTGGCGGCCAACGGCAAGAAGAGGAAGCCGAGCGGCAAGAGCATCGCCTCGGCCTCGCAGATCCCGGTGGAGGCGGCTGACGGTGAGTGGGAGCTCGGCGGTGGTGGGGAGCGGTGGTGCAGCAGTTTGCGCGCCGAGATACGAACCGGGCGACCCGAGTTCGATTCCCGGACGCGGCCACCAACACCGGTGACGATTATCTGAACCGGTCCTGGGCCTCGCCCTAGGTCGACTCGGCCTGAACCTGGAGCGACGTGTAAACAGCGGCGTGTAAACGTCGCCACTGGGGAGACAAAGGCGGCCGGGCGTGGTGCTGGCCACCCACCCATCCCGTCGTGTGCTGTGCCGGCCTTCGTAGGTGATCGCTAATGGCACTTGCCCAAAAAGTCTCTTAAGGCTATACGGGGATCTTTGCCACGTACAATGCAAAAGTTCACGCACGCGTTTTGCCATCTGCTCGATGAGGACGTCGGTCACATGGACGCCTCGTAAGCTGAATTGTTAACGTTCTTCAAGTGACCGTGATATACACAGACAGACCGCACCCATTTGCGCCAAACCTGAGCGTTGATTGGTTCATGAAGGTACAGACGAATGGGCAACGAGGTTCATAAATTCAGTGTCATGGGCGAGCGTTGGGCGTGAGTGCCCGGGTATAGGAAAAGGATTGGAGATGGGAATTTTGTGTTGAGGTGAAATTAAAAAATTAAGAGTGTACACACACACACGAATTTGAGAGCGACTTGGCATCCTTTAGTACAATACGGGTGGAAATATTGTCTAATTAATTAAACAAAGAGGAAGGGAGGGTGGTAATTTCAGACCCATAAGCTCTATTATTTGTCAATTGCGGTCTTGCCCAACACGGCATTTTCCAGGAACGTAACCCCCTGCTTTTGGCGTGGTATTACTGTACATGTGTACGTGTTTGTGCGCATGTGTACACTTAATTGCATCCACGGTTATCAATGCAGTTTGTTGCCATCTGGGCCAGGTGTGACTGTGATTAGAGCGTGTGGCTCAACATCTGAAATTGTACGTATGTGTCTATATGTGTCTAAATTCGCACCGTACGTAGCCAGCCGTGCCAATCAGGGGTGCCCATTAAGCGCCGAAAAGCGGCGCGTTTTGGCTGCCTTGATTGCGCGCGGCAAACCTTCGGCCTGACCGTGCTACGGCACCGGAGATCGAGGCTTCTCCACCCACACGGTTGTGATGTCACGTGCAGGGATCAAGTGGTGCGGTGCCTCCGGAAGTGTCACAGGAAGTGTCACAGGAAGTGTCACAGGAAGTGTCACGGTTGTGGCTGTGGCTGGGGTTGGACAAGCGCGGGCGGGGAGCGGATGGCACGCTGCAGTTGCATAGCCACCATTGTCATTCACACTGCCGTGCGAGTGAGTGAGGTACAAAAGGGCATCACCTCCGCCAGTGTTATCCTTTCCTGCGGAGCGGAGGGGAAGTCAGAATGGTGACTTGGGGCTGGACAGTGGTTGACAATGGGGCGCTGGAGCGTGCTTTAAAAAACAATTTGAGAATATAATAATGAATTATAACAAGTCCTATTTGTAGCTTGTGCACAATTATTGGGGTGAGTCCCTAACGCAAGTCACCCTCTATTGTATGTGAACGTTTTATTTTAAATAAGATAGCCAACACGTCTTCAGGACTCATTGTAAATATAATTAAAATGTGCATTTAAAAGGTAGTAAAATCAGAGCAATGTTAATCACACAGATTAATTATGAGACGGCAACAAATAATCTCTATGGGGTCAATATAATGTGCTGATTTGTAAGAAATCATCCACGGTTTTCTGATTGTGAGACAGTCCCCAGCCGTAGAAATGTCGAATTCCCGCCACTGGCTCACGGCCATCAAGCGAACCGATCGTGGGCGCCTTTCCCTCCGGTGCAGAAACTGCCCGCGCGCTTGAACGCAGTCGGAGTTTGGCTCTATTGCTATGCTCAGGTGCGAGAGCAATTCCCAGGCAAGGTATCATAATTGTCGTGTCCCAGTGTCAACCATGAACATGTTAAGCCAATCAGAAGAATACAGAGATATATTGCTTCGATGTGCAATTTCTATTCTCTAAACTTTTTTCCTGCCCATTGTAATGTCGTTACATTTTTCCCCGTCTTAGAGCAGGCAGGCTTCTTGCTACAGATACCAGATCTGTATTCGTGCATGACTCTATAACTGGTTGTGGCTTTTGTCCTCTACTTGAACAACTGAAACAATAACACGCACACACTCACGGTCGTACACGAATACAATTAGAATATGAATTGTAATCAAGGCCGCATGACGTTAGATCTGAAATACAAGGATTTGTATCATCGTAAGTACACACACAATCAAGTACTGTACATTGTGTACAGTATTTTCTTGCCATTGTTGAGACTTTTGGTGTCGTATGCAAGGACCGCGATGCGGTTCACGGAATCTTCCTCGGCCAAAGATTGCCACAATTGTGGCGCAAACACTTCTCTGTTGTCTGAATGCCCTGAAATCTGGCAGTTTAATTTAACGATAGCCCGGCTTGATCACACCGAGAAAGGAACCGCTGCCAAATCAACGTATCACTTGATGCGTTGATTGTAAGAGCAACGTATCACTTGATACGTTGATTGTAAGAGCAACGTATCACTTGATGCGTTGATTGTAAGAGCAACGTATCACTTGATACGTTGATTGTAAGAGCAACGTATCACTTGATACGTCGATTGTAAGAGCAACGTATCACTTGATACGTCGATTGTAAGAGCAACGTATCACTTGATACGTCGATTGTAAGAGCAACGTATCACTTGATACGTCGATTGTAAGAGCAACGTATCACTTGATACATTGATTGTAAGATCAACGTATCACTTGATACGTTGATTGTAAGATCAACGTATCACTTGATACGTTGATTGGAAGAGCAACGTATCACTTGATACGTTGATTGTAAGAGCAACATATCACTTGATATGTTGATTGGAAGATCAACGTATCACTTTTTGTAAGAGCAACGGCGCTAAGTACTTTGTAAGAGCAACGGCGCTAAGTACTTATCGTGAAGGTGGACGTCTAAAAAAAAATGTAGTTTCATTTCATTTTAAAGTACTTTCCTTTTTACAAATGACAAGCGCGTAGTGCCACCGAAATGAATGTTTAATGCTCATGTCAGCCTTTAAATGTATTCTTAATAAAATATTATACCCAACATATTAATTGAATATATTTTTTTACAAGTTAGATCGCAGTATCTTACGTTAGCAACGACGGAGCGGCTGACCGTTCTTCCGCAGGTTAAATATTCTCTCGTTTTCAGATAACAAGGAAATCGTATTCAGATAATTTCAGAAACAAACACGATGACATTTTTAGTAGTCAAGACTCCTAATACGGATACATTTCCTGTCTTTATAAAACATTATACGTATTAAATTGGCCTGTAGAGTATTGTATTCTCGAATGTATTGAGTCAAGTTGATCTTAGGATATTCAAAGCTTTCCTAGTAGATATAAAGAAAACTGACATTTCACCTCGCAAAATGGAGTTTGTAATATAATGACACCTGCTTGAAATTACCATCGCATTAGTATTGCTACAGAAGAATATATACATATATAAAATAAGCTATGACATCTAAGCACATTACCAGAACTTGCTCCACTTACAGCTACAGTCTCTGTATTTTCCCCACATTGATCTCTCGTGCTCTTAAAATTGCACAAAATGAAATATATTTGACACCCTGTCAGTGCCAAAATGGCTTCAGGAAACCTGGACTGGAGCCGCAGAAACTCGCGGCCGATTTTAGCACTCGAAGTTTCCCCCCCCCCCCCCCCCGTTGTCCTCGCGGGCTCGTGAAGTCGTGCCGGTGTGTCACGCCGGGTCTGAACTGCGTCCTCTCAAACTACGAGGGCCTTGTTAGTCGCCTCCTTGATCAGCTCCCCGCACTGTTGGCGTGTCGCCACCCGCCCGTATTGCTTTACTGCGTCGGCACGGGGGTCCCACGGTTTAGGCGGAGTGCTCTTACCAATGACGCCTAAAAATCCAACGGCATTTGTCTCACAAGTCCCACTCTACTGATGACGCCCGGTCTCCAGATGGCCCATAAGGTGAAACGAAAAATATACAAATACACTTGTATGAATGCGTACGTTTGTCATTTGTTCAGTATTTCTTTGTTAGCAATAATCTTGAGCCGCTCTCTCTGTAATACTTGACTCCAGTCAGAGTGTTTCCGTGCTCAAAATGAGCTTGGGGTGGTGGGATTTCCCCGTTCCTGTACGAGTACGTGTACAGCCCTTTTTGTGTCGAACCACTGCTGAATGAGGGGCTCCTCATGCCGCGTGGGTCTTGGGGGTTATTTGACCGAACTTAACCACACTAGTCACTGTGGGTCGACGAAGGCAGGTACTGTAGTATAAAAGTAGGAGCATAGAAGTACAGCACGACAAATGATTTTGCTACACCGCCCTGTGATGTCTGACACATGTCTGTTGTCCTTAACGCCTGTTTTGCACAGAGGTCGCCCATCCAAACACTAACCAAGCTGAACCCCAGATAAACTTCTGAGAGGTGATGAGACTAGGGATCAGGTGCATTCTGGGTGCATTGGAGATTTATCATCCATAAGATGACCACTTTTAACCTTCCACCTCATCAGGTGTTACTTGACACATCACTCACAACGATTGATCCTTACGTCACGGGGCTTACGAATAAACCCAAATAATAATCTATGCTGTGGAGGGTCTAAGTCACGGCACAAGCCAAGACACCTCCTTTCCATATCTGTCCATCCACGTAAAAAAACGTTAAAAAAAACTTCAGCGACACGCCATTCTGATTAACGCGTAACATCAGCAGCATTGGTTCAAGACAGTCGAATAAGCTGGGTTTCGTGGTACTATTGCGATGGCAGCCTGAACTACTAACACTTCTTCCTCTGCTCGTTTCCCCACTAACAACTCTCCACTCTCCACTGCTGCTGCTGCGTGGCGGCGGTGGCGGAGGAGGGCACGCTCCCCCCAGAATGCTGCGTGTCCGTGCTGCTGGCTTGCCTCTTCTGCCACTGCTCAACGAAC